TAAATCAGGATTAGGGCCCAGGATACCACTCCATTCCTAGATATACTCTAATTTGATGTGTGATCTTACACAACTCACATCCACCCTCTGGACCACATTTTCCTCAGACATGTCTTTCTCTCTGAATACTTAGCTCTTGATAATGTTTATGGAATGAATGAATGAATCTCAGAGGTCCCTTTGAGCTCTGATACTGTAACCCTACGAGCTGTAGACCTCTTTGGGAAAGAATGGAATTAGTCAAGAAGAAAAAGATTGATCCCAGTGGTCACACTCCACCCTGTAGTTATGATCTGCCCTTAACAGATCATCTCTTCCCCTTTCTGTCATCTTCTTTACTTCATTTTGTATTTCCTCCCCATTTTACCCCAAACATTGTTATCATTTAAATCATGTACCCAAAATATATATATATATATATTCAAATCCTAGCCCCCAGTACCTGTGAATGTGACCTTATTTGGAAATATATAGTCTCTACAAATGTCAAGTTAGGGTAAGGTCATACTTCATTAGAGTGGACCCTTGTCCAAGCACTAATGTGCTTATAAAAACAGGAAAAATTTAGACATGGATACATAGGGAGACTATTATGTGACAACAGAGGGAGAGATTGGACTAATACATCCACAAAAGAATGATATAGATTGCTGGCAATCACCAGAAGCTAGGAAAAACACACAAAAAAGGTTCCCTGGCCCCTTAAAGAGACATCAACACTGATGACAATGTGGTGCCTGACTTCTGGCCTCATGAACTGTACAAGAGTCAGTTTGGGTTTTTCAGTTACCTATTTTATGGTAATGTATTTTATCATGGCAGCCCTAGGAAGCTAATACACCTATCCAATAGCATGGCTATATTTGGAAATTATCCTACTGAAGCATATTGCCCTAGAAACCTCCAGTATCCCTGACATCTCTCCAAATATATACTAAAAATGAGTCATTATTGTCTCCTCCACATTTATTTTTTAAATGTTTTATTTTTAAGAGAATAAAACCAAATAAAATAAGACAGAATAAAGCCAGTCAAAACAAAACAGTGAATGATACAGAATTTCAAAGCAAGATAATAGCAAATCAACAATGGCAACCATAATGCCTCTTGTTATCTTCAAAATAGCTGTCCATACAATCAGACCTAATAAAATCAAATAAAACAGAACAGAATAAAACCAATCAAAACAAAACAGTGACAATGATACAGGACACTGAAACAAGATAACAGAAAATCCAGACTCTTGGTTCCTCCAGGGCAAAGAAAGGAAGACTTCCACATGATTATCAGCAGGGAGAGGATTCTAGGGGTGAGAAGAAGGGTTGCCAACTGCTTTTCTTCCCACAAGAGACAACTCAAAAAATAAAGAACTTTCATCATTATAAGATGCTACTGTCACTTACATTCACGCATTCAGTAAATATATATGGAACACTTACTATGCAAGGTGCTGGTGAATGACAAAGGAGAGTGTGTAGAGGGATAGGGAGGAGTGCTGAAGAAATGTAACAACACATATTCCTTGACTTCTAAGAGCCACACTGGTGTTGGAGATCTGTATGCACCATGATGTACGCAGCATGGTCTCAGGAATCAGGTAAAGTACTGGTTGGAATTCTAGCTCTGCCACTGATGCTCACAATTTACTTAATCTAGCTGGACCGTAGGCTTTGTGGGAAGATAGAGTAACACAATGTATACAGCATAAGGCCAGGATAAGTGCTCAATAAATGTTAGTTATTTTCATTTTTGAAGGGAAAAGAAAAAAAGAATAGAAGGAGCAAACAGAAACAAAGATTTTTAAAATAAAGAAGGAAATAGGGGTGGAAGGGAGGGGAAGGGTTTGAGGGAAAAAAAGAATTAAGATATATTATGTACAGGTACAAATTCCCTATGATGAATGTGATCATTATGCATATCTAAAACGTACCAATAAAATTAATCTTTAGAAATATACAATGTTTAGGGAGAAAAAAAAGAAAGAAAAGATGTTCCCTAGAAACAGCTATATAAAAGATTTAGATCAAGTAGGGGCTCTGTCCATTTCAGGCCCTCAGGACCTCCTATCAGACATTTGCTAGAATGCTCAGAACAACTCCAGGAAGAAGTTCCAATCACTTTACATGTAACAAAACTGTAACAAGTTGGCCAAGTTCACACTTGTTTAGCAGTGGAGGGTACAAACTAGATCTACCAAGGACCCTATCTTCCTACTCCTGGGCACTATGTATATGCAAGTCAGAAGGATGGGAGGGCAGCAGTGTTTGGAAGAGAGTCCAGGGTGCCTCACCTAAAGCTGCAGTTATCTCTACAAAAAGTTCTTTGTACTGGACTTACCTGTTTTTGTTTAATTATCAAATGCATCTCTGGTGCTTACTAAAGGGTGCTCTAAGCACTTCATGTTGGCAACTCATTTAATCCTAACAAAAGCCTTGTAGGACAAGCACTGATATTGGTCACATTTTGAAGATGTGGAAATTGAAATGGAAAAAGGTTAAGCAAGTTCCTTAACATCACACAGATAGCTGAGTTGCAGAAACACGATTTACATCTGGTTTTTAGCTCTTAACCATTGTTCTACACTGCAGTATCTTTGATGGGGGAAGGCTTAGAGTGTACACATTGAGAGAACAGGAGTGTTCACACATACACATAACCATAAGCCACCCTTTGGTGCTATTGCTGCCATAAGACTATGAGTAATCTGACCCTCTAGGCTGAATGACAGGATGGGGGCTATTTAACCCTGGGACTCTCTGAGTCACAGATTCTCATCCCCAGCCCACTTCCTGAAAACTCTTTGCGCCTCAGCTTTGGAAACCCTTTGAGCACAAAGAGCTCATTTCCTGTGCCCAGGAAAGACGGGACAAGTTCCTGATGACAGCTCATCTCCCTCATTAAGGCACTCATAAAAGTGCTTCAAGGAGGCTGACTTATTGCTCCACTGTTTGTCAAGTCTCCTTCTGCAAGGAGCCACTCCGGTAATTTGGTGCTAGGAGATGTGCAAGAGAAACCAGCTCCTTTGAGTCCAGGAATTATTTATGGCCCCCAAAAGAGAGAATGTCATTTGGAGAGATAACAAGCCTTCACCAGCACAACAGGCTGCTTAATGTGCCACAGGATGGAGGCAGATTCAGAATTCCAAAGCCAGCTAAGAAGCCTTGAGAGAGCTTGTACACAGAGGTTGTCTGATCTGAGGAAAGCTCCTTAGACAATAGCACAAATGACAACAGCTAGCAATTATGGAAGTTTACCCTGGGCCAGGGCCTATACTAAACGTTTTTTGTAATTCTCATAACATTCCTATTTTACAAGTAAGGAAATTTAGGTGTATAGATGTTATGTAATTTGCCTAAATTCATACAGCCAATCAGCAGCCAAGATATTAATTTAAGTGTGCTCAAATTATTATGCTTATACTCTGAGATATCAAATATAGTTTAGGAAGAAATTGGGTTGTAAGTCAGTCTAGTAAGACAAAATGTACGTATATTCAAAATTACCTTTGATAGACCTGTCAAATCCTTGTATAGTTTATTTCATTTGAGCCATAGAGTTCAGTCCAGTGATTCATAAGTAGTACTTGACATTTGGATTAAGGAGTTAAATAAGAGGTTTGTGTGTGAACACTCTGCATTAAGGTGAACTATCAAGTGCACAGGGAATAAAAAAAGAAAGACAAATTCTACAGTGTCTCTACCAACCTGGTAACTTTTGCTTGTTTAGTATTAGCCTGTATGATCTTAATATGTCACTTGTCACAAGATTTATTCGAGTTAGGATTAAGTGCTCACACAGTCACATCTTGAAAGTTCTATTAGAGAAGCCTAAATTAAACTAGCCAATGAGACTCCATGACACCAGATTTGGAGCCAGATAAAACTGAATTCAGACCCTAAATCTGATACTTACTAGCTGTATAACCTAGGGTGATTTGCTTAACTTGCCAAGGCTTTAGTGTCTTAATCTGTAAAATGGTCACACTATTATCACTGGGTTGAGAAATCTGAATTTAAGTGCTTTTTAAGCATTGAGTTTGAATATACATAAATCATAGTAAATATTATCTTTAATGGTTTTGACCTAAGGCAGGTTACATCACTTCTCTAAGTCTCGTTTCTCATCAGTATTATGGACATAACCGTTGTACTAACCTCAAAGGTCACTGTAAGAAAACAGACACTGTAGACATTATACATGAAGATCTTCTCAACCACTTGTATATCTGAAATTGTGAGGAAGTGTTGGGGGACCCCTACTGGAGAAAATAACTCAGAAGGGTCCTGGGGTTAAGGACCAGAAATGTGCTCGGATCTAGCTCCATTTTTGCCATATAGTGTGGTTGCGTGACGGATGAATGACCTAACCTCTCTGAGTCACCACTTTCCTCCCTACTGTCAAATGAGGCTAATAGTACAGACATCGGAAGGTTACCCGGAAGATTACATTTTGCAGAAGTGTTAGGCACGTGGTTAAGCACTACTCAGTAAGTGCCGAATCTCAATCTTCCTGGTTGAGCCAAATTCAACCCTTTCCCTACGTGAAGTAGGAAAAGTACTGTGCTGCCACGCGAAGCTCAGGTAGGACAGATATTCCCCGGGGGCCACTGGGCTGCAGTGCCTCCCCACTCCCCAGCCCGCCCAGCCGTTGCCATGGTCACCGGTTCAGGCCCGGAGCAGCACAGAGGCGTGTTCAGCCCAATCCCCGCCTTTCCAGAGTGACCATTGGCTGGAGAGGTCACGTGACAAGCACTGGTATGCTAATATATGTTAATCTCCCACGCCCCTCCTTCCCGGGCCGCGAAGGAGTAGCCCGCAGGGTGCACGGCGCGGAGCCTAGGGGGCGGGCTGAGGGGCGGCCCCCGGGAGAGAGCAGCCAGGTGGAGGAGGAGCGCGAAGGCGACCGCAGGTAACGGGCGGGCGCGTGCGCGCTGGGGCAGGCAGCGCGCGGGGGACACCCGGCGCCGGGCTGCCGGCTTAACCCTTTGGACACCCAGCTGTCACGCCGTGGCTGGAGCAGCCGCCAGGCTGGGCCGCGCGAGGCGGAGCACTGCCGTGGACACCCACCGGCAGGCGGGCGGCCTGACCCAGCAGTCGCAGTCAACGACTGGCGCGCCGGGGTCCGGGAAGGCGCTGAGGGCTGCCGCGAGCTGTGGGGCCGCGGTTTGCAGGAGGCTGTGGGGAAGCGGCTGAAGTCCCGGCACTCACGCGCCTTCAGAGGCGGGGAGCCCCGCCGCGCACAGAGGCCTGCCTCGGCTGCCCCTGGCCTCGCGAGGCCTGCGTCTCCTCCGCTGCTCCTCAGAGTGCGGGGAGACACTGCTGGCGGTGGGGCCTGAGCGCGGCGCCCCCTCCTCAGCTTCGGCCTGACAGCCTAGCAGCCGGCACTTTTGACCCCAGTAGAGCCTAGGGGACTCCCTGCAGGAAGACGGCAAGACTGGTGCGTGGTGGCACCAGCTGAGGGAACGGGGTTGGTGCTGGGAGGAGAGGACCGTCCGCTTACGAGAAAGCAGGCCCCAAGGCATGAGAAGGAGGGATGCTCGAGAAAGACACCGGCCCCTTCTTTTTCTGTGCTGGGTGGTGATCCAAAACCCATGGGGAAAGATCATTGCCGAACACCTGGATCGGGTCTGTCATGTACAGAGGAAGCAGCTGTTTTACGTGAGTTTCTAACAAATTTCTTATAAGGCAAGGTTTAAGTTAATCTTCCTCCTCCTGCCCCCGCGGAGGTCTTAAGTCAGAAGTGTCGTCTTTTAATTATTCCCCTCCCCCAGTTCACTAAGACGGGTGGCAGCCTTAGGCTCACAGTGTAATTTAGTTTTCACTGCAGTAGAAATGGTAGGATGGGGAATGTACCACTATTAAGCTTGCCCCAAGAATTTTAGTGTGGAGGGGAAATGTTCTATCACCAGTGAGGTTGAAAAACCAACTACTGCGCCAGTGATACCAATAGAGCTTCCTTTATGAATCTAAAGTTTCCTCAAAATCAAACGAAAATGTGGTTACACAGGAAAAGTACCAGAAACCAAATTGATTTTTTTTAAAGTGAAGTGCAAATTGCACTTCCATGTTGCTCTTGATGTCTTTTATCCACAACAACAAATACTTGGTCCAGATGCTCTGCTATGTCCTGCAGATGCAAAAAACTAGTGGGACCAGAAGAGAAAACAATTAAGTGTTAAAAATCAGGAGAAAACACATTTAAGCAAAATGTCGAAGGATGAAAATAGGAGCTTGCCTTGCAAGATGATGGAAAGAACAGGAAGGAAAACCAAAGCCAAGAAAACAGAATGAATTTAGCTACTTAAAGAGAATGATTTTAAAATTGCAGCTGTGGCATTTTTCCTTTCTGTACAAGGCAGTTTTCAAAAAGTTATCTAGAACTCCTCATTCATCACAATTTTCCAGTGGTATTTTTCTTATCTTTTTTTCTCTCCCTATTCTCTCTCCTCTGAACCTCATTCACATCTTTCCAAGAAAGCAACCAACAAGTGGAGGTTTTTTAAAAAGGCATTTTACAGTAGCTGCAAGATGCAGGACCTAAAACTTGTCGGTAATGTTTGGCACTTCAGGCAGCGTCCTAGGAGGGCAGATCTAAACCATAGAAAAACAAAGCACTGGCCATAGGGGAACAATGCTGGATGTCATATCTGTGAGACCTAGAGAAATTAATAATAAGAGCAGATGTAAGAGGGATCTGAATTAAGAGAGGACTGAACTGTGCGGTGGGTCAGAGCAAACAGTTCAGCATAGACCATGAATCATTGTGCTGTGATAGAACCCATGTTATGTGGTGACAGCTGTCAGAACAGCAATGAATCTGACAGCTTCAAGCAACTGTGCAGAGGACTATGCCATCTCCTAGATAGATTATTTCAGTGCCTCCTCCTTTTTGTTCCATCCCTCCTATTATCCTCTTCTCTTGATCCAGTTTCCACCTACTGTTAACTTTGTATTGTTTCTTCTACTGAGGTCTTGCCAGAGGAAAGAAGATTCTATTCTGATGTCTCAGTATCTATCCCTAGAACTCTAAATAGTCTGCTTTACTTCATAAGCTGTCAACTAGCCAGACTATTTTTACTTCATGATTATTAGAAACACAACAAGGATGGAACCCAAAGAAGTAAAATAGACTTCATCCCTTGAAATCACCTAATGTTTGAATCAGATAAAGGTATTTTAGCTTTACTTATACCAAAATTTATTTTTAGCATGAACTGTGGTGAGTGTTTGGCAAATCTCCTGTTTTGAACTGTATTATAGATTAAGCCTCGTAAAAAGATGACATAGGTGCCCAACATGCTCCGGTAACACTGCCAAGTCTATGAGTACTAGAAGATCATGGGTTGTAGTTAAGCAGTCTTATCAATCAACATATTTACTGAACATCTGTGTGCAAATACTGTGCTGGATTTGTGCTTTGAGGGAGACAGAGAAATCCCTGTGGAGAGTTTAACAAGAAATTCAGTTTAACAAGAATTTGGATTCCAGTTCTACCAGTCACTTGCTACTTGATTTGGGACAAATTATTTGATCTCAATTTCTTCATCTATAATAGTGCTACCTATCTTATATAGTTGCAAGAACTAAGTGAAATCACAAATGTAGAGTACTAATACTTTTTTTTTTTTTGGTACCGGGGATTGAACTCACGACCTCACACTTGCCAGGCAGACGCTTATGCCACTGAGCTAAATCCCCAGCTCAGCACTAATACATTTTTGATGTGCTAACCATGTGGTATTATAGGAGTTGAGAAATAAAGTGATCATCATGAACTATGATTACCAAGAGAAGCTTTTTCAGAGCCATGGTGAATTCTGTTGGACAGAAATTTCAGACAGGAAAAATCATGTTCATGAAACGAAGGCCAGAATAGAAGATTCCAGGTGCCAAACGATGAGGTCAGTCTGGCAAGATCAGAAGGTTTAAGTTGAGAAGTCTTAAAATTGGAAGGGTTTCCTGAAGTCAGATTATAGCAGGCATTGAATGCCAAACAAAAAGTTAGGATTATATCCTGTAGATGATAGAAAGTAAAGAATTTTGGTTAAGGAAGTATAGGGTCATGAAGATTCTCAATAGAAACATGGAGAATAGAGTTTAGTAGAGAGAGAGAGAATTCTACAATCAACTAGTCAGTTATTTAAATGGTCTACAATCAACTAGTAGGTTATTTAAATAGTGTGAAAGGATAAGGAATTGAAATAAAGTGACAATGGAAGTAAGAGATGAGTCCAATAAGTATCTAATGGAAAAATAAACAAGACTTTGTGATTGATTAACTATGAGTAACTAGAGATAAGCTAGCATCAAATATAGTTTTCACTTGTGGTAAAGGATTAGCAAAAAATAAGACACACAGATGAAAATCCTATCAAAAATAGGATAAGTAGAAAGGAAGCCAGTTTAAGGATGAGACGCTAAATGCTATCTTAATAAGATACTGGAACTTCTCAGTGGACATACCCTGTAAATGTTTGGAACTTGGTATAAGGGGAAATCAAAGACTTTATACAAAGAAGTTAATCACTGAAGCCTTATGGTTAGCTGAGTTTATCAGTGGTAGCAACAGAGAAACAGAAGTAAAGACCTACGATCAAAGCTTATAGTTTAGCTACATTTGAGGAGAAAGGGAGAAGGGGATTACTATGGTAGAAAACAAGGAATATCAGCGAAATAAAAAAAAACTAGTTTATTTATCCAACACTAGCATCCTATTTACCACCATTTATGGTTGTCTCTGGTGACTGCCTGGCCAGTTAAACATGCTGTTAACCACAAGAGGGCAGGCCCACAGGAATTAAGAGAGGCAGGCAGCTCCAGCCAAAGACATTAGTCAGCAGTTTGAGATTCTACAGAAAACTTGGAAATGCCCATTATATTTATTAAATGGAAGGTCATTGGCAACTTTTAGGAAATGATCCCTTCTATTGTGCAGGGAGGCTGATATTAAAAGCCAGAGAAAAGAGGATTGTAGCATGAAGTACAGCTAAAAAATAGAGATAACATGCAGATCCCCCTTTGTATGTCTGACAACGAAAGGAAGAAAAGAAATTGGAAAGGGATTAGAAAAAGCAACAGTCAAGATTTTGTCTTCCTTACCTGCTTCATTATTTTGTTCTAAAATACTCTCTTTCATATCTTTAACAGCAATTCAGCAATTCATTTAAATTTACCACTTATGAACTATGTGTACATTTTTATACAGAACAATAATAGGATAGTTACCATTTATTGTATGCTTACTATGTGCTAGGCATTATGCTAATCATGTTGTATATATCCTATTCATGATTCCACTTAATCCTCACTATACTAGAGTCTAACTATATAAACTCTTGGAAACATGAAGATGTGAAATAAATTGCCTAGGTCCAGGATCACATAATTAATGAGTGCCAGAGATGGCGTTTAGATCCAGCTCTGACTCTGAAGCTCTTATATAGGACCATCTGTACCATCTTTGACAGCAGGGCCAGTGTCATGGCCATGCAATTTGTGCAGAAGGGCCCTGTGCTTGGCTTAATGCTGTATTGCTGCTGTCATGAAGTCTTCAAAATTTTTAAACAAGGAGTCCTACATTTTCATTTTTGTAGTGGACCCCACAGACTATAACCAGTTATGTCTAAAACTGCTACTTCCTAAAGCTTTCCCAGCTTTTCATGCATAGCCTTTATTTTGGTCAAGTGACCCAGAGTCCTTGCTGTCATTATTTTCCTATGTTCTCATTTTGGAACCCTTAAGTCTGGTGAGATGAAGGGCAAGAGGGAAATATTTTCGTTTTAAAGAGGTAACCCAAGCAGTATAAAGAATTAAGAAGGAATGAATTATTTACTCAGAATGAGGTCTGGAAACATCTGTCATATTTCAAGTGTTACTGGTAAGAGTTACAGTTCTGATGCTGTTTTATTCCCAATGTAAATAACATATGAATTCATTTCTACTCCTTTGGTACTCAGATGTACCCATTTGCTCCAGGGAAATTAGGGAGACTATTTTTCAACTTCTTGAAGCAGAAATTGAAGTTAAACAGGTATTCTACAACTTTTCTGCTCTGATCAGGTGCTTTTAAACCAGGCTGATGCCACCTTTTCACCCTCAAACTATGTGCTACCCAGCAGCTTTGAACCAGGGGGCCCTGCTTACCAAGTTGTCTGGAATATTCATGTTCTGCTGTGCCTTTGTTGCCTGCTCTATCCCTTCATCTACCCACATGGATCATCAAAGGCAGGAGACTTACTTTTCTCTCTTCTTTGGCTTTACATCACTACTTGGAACTGACAACAGCATTAGATCTTTCTGGTTTTCATGGTTATTGCTCTCTCAGAACAATTTTTACTTACTCTCTTGCTCCTCCCATTTCTAGACTCCCTGGCTAATGATTTAACCAAATACTGAGCAATAGTGCACTAACTGTCCCCTTGGCCAAGTCCCCTGAGAACAGGAGGAACTCAGACAAGACTGAGTGTGCAGCCTCTTCCCGTTACCTATCTCCTTACCATTCTGAGTGTTTTTTTTAAGTTTTCTACTTCCAACATGTACAAAGTAAACCCAAGACTATGTGAGATTAAAAATATTAAGAGACTTTCAGCTTATGTCACACAGCAAAGTTTATTTAAACAGCAAGGTATTCTCCACAATCTATTTGTGCTGTGACATGTAGTCTCCATAAGGCACCACAGTAATCTATTGCTTCATAACAAGTCACCCAACATTTACTAGCTTAAAATAATGTTTATTTATTTTGTAAGGCTCCATGCAAGCATTACCTCTCAGAAGCACTTCCCAGCTTTTTTTTATGAATTACTACCCTTCCTGTCTGATCTTCCTTTGTACTTTACCATATTGTTATAACATAAACCACATTGTTGTAATTTCTAGGAATGTTGTCTCTTTCATACACGTAACTTCAATTCCTAAAACTATTCCTTGACCATAATAGATGCTCATTAAATAGTTATTGAATGAGCTTATGAATAGCTCCTACCTTTATGGGCTTTCACTCTATTTTTTAGGAAACTCAACCTTGTGGTCTGTGATAAAAAAATACCCTTCATTATCTCCCCATGTATACATTTTATGTATCACTGATTAAAGCTAAAAATATTTTTTAAAAGACTACTGTTTATTTCAAAGACTGCTTGATTTACCTAACCTAAGGAAGATATCTTGACTTTGACTTAGTCTGTAAATACCTGTATCAACCCTCTTAAATCCAGTTCTAGCCCTTAGAGGAAGTCGTGTAGTTGTTAACGTCAACATTAGTTCACTATTCAACTTTGACTTTAAACTTTATGAAGACAGGTTCTATGTCTGGCCTATTCACTACTCTACTTCCAACATCAAGTGCTAATAACTGCTTAATAAATATTTGGTGAACAAATTAGTGAAAATCCATTCTGGATAACTGTTAACCAAGTGCTGACCTTTGAACACTAAGAACTTTAGCCCTGACTCATCATTTGTAAACTAGACTTTTTATTTTGTCCTTAACTCTTCTTTTCCAGTGCTTTATCATAGTTTACTTGCTTACTCAGAAGTGAGGTACCTCTTTATTCTTATCTTCTTAACTAATATTGACCAGGTGCCCTTGGGAGAATACCCTTTTCCCTAGCTATAACCAGAAACATGCAGACTACATAAGAAATGTGTTTTAAAATACTGGAACTAAATATTGTTATATTGATATTCCTAAAGAAAATGAACAGGCTCTTTAAAAGGCAGATTTGAGGCAGAGACCAGAGTCTAAAATTTTGAGGGTCTGTTAGACTGATCAACTTTGTAAGTTTTGGCGATTCAGTGCACGTTAATTTTTATATCACACAGTGAATCAAAGAAGAGGAGGGAGTTGAGTGTGTAAATATGGTTGCCAGGGCAACTTTTCCTCAGGGTACAGATAAATTTGACTGGACACTTTTCAAGAGACCTGAGAAGTAAGTTCTCTAAGACAGTAGACTTCCCTAGGACAAATGATGGCTGTCCTACAGCACCCATTCTTTTCAAGGAACCATCTGAAAACCAAATTTCTATTAGTTCATCTCTAACACAATATTGCTTTATTCAATAATTATTTATTCAGCACTCTCTAAATGGTTCACTGTTCAAAAGGCAATGTAATCATAAGAGGTTGATAACCATTTGAAGATAATGAGTTACACCTAATGGATGTGCCTTAAGTTTTTCTCTGAACTACTTTTTTGAGTAGAGAATGATATAAACTTAATTATTTAATGCTTTTTCCCAAAAAATACCATTTTGTTTCTATAGGAAAAAACCTAACACAATTGCCCTATTTCTATACTTTGGTTGTCACTCCTGAGAAATGCCATATCCAACAGTGGATGTTCATTCAGTGACAGTGTCATCTTTATTATCGTTATAGGACCAACAGAGGACTTATCCATCTACTCACTGGCTAAAAATCACAAGAGATCCTCTTTGTTTTAACTATGAAGTATGAGTGGTTTAGAGTCTTGGCTATAAAATATATTTGGAATGAAACACAGGACACTGTTTCATGTCTGAAGTCTACCATTCATGGTCTTCTTTTTTCCCCCTACTTACAAATAAGGATTGCATTTATCTGAAAAGAAATGTAATTGTAAGCTCTTTTATACTTTAACATGCTGGGGTTTTGCTTGGTACAGCATAGCTTTCACTTTTCCTCTGCAAAGAGGTAGAGGAGGAAGGTTGCAGCAGGGACACTTGTGCCAAAATGCACAGCCTTGCCTCTGCCACCCTTTAACTGTAATCTTCATTCTTTTTCACCTGTTACTCTCTGCTTCCAGCTTCTTGTGCATAGTGGAAATAATTGTAACTCCTACCTCAAATAATTACAGAAACAGATGAGTTAATACCTGAACATATGTAATAAATACCAAGAAATTTTTACCTTTTATTCTTTTTTATGACCTTCGAGATAGAGGGGTTGAATCTATCCAAAAGAAGAGAAAGTTGAGACATAAGAAATATAATAACTTCCCCATGAATGTTCAGCAAGTTCAGATTCATTCTTAGCCTTGGTTTGGCTCTGTAATTTTCCATTCAACTAAGTAAGAGAGAAAGAAATGAGAATAGAGTTAGAGGGAAGAACTTTTGGAATATTTTGTAGTAAAAGTTACTTCTCAAAAGACCTTAATGCACATAGAAATGAAATAGATTTATCAAAGGCAAAGTGAATATAAAAATGGTTGGAAGTAATATAAGATAGGGAATATCATTTTGAATTAGGCCTGTAGTATATCCAGTCCAAAATCCTGTTTCTGATCATGATAGAAAGAACAGTTGGAGTGCAGTATTAGAGCTGTCAACCATGACAAAATCTTCTAATTACATAAGTGATCTTACTAATTTCTCACTGGCTTTGAGCATCTTGTTGTGGTGCACCTGAGTATTTAAGCTTTAGTTCTTTTTTGTTTTTTTGTTTGGTTTTTTGGCTTTACAATCTATTCATTTCTTCAACAATCATTGTTTTTAAAAACTTTTTTATCCTATTCCATAGAATGGGGATGTTAAAACAATAGAATCCAATCTGAGATATCAAAAGGAAGACATGGAAATATTAATGACTTAATTAGTACTATAATAGGTACATGAACAAATGGTTTTGAAAACTTAGAGGAGGGATCACTTAATTCTGGGTAGAAATGTTAGGACATTTTTCTGAAGAAAATTATATTTGACATGATGACTGAAAGATTCAGAGGGGCTCCTCAGGCAAACAGGAAGCAGTGTGCACAGCATAGGGCACCTGGGAGTGAGAGAGGACATATGTGGGGAACTTCATCAGCCCTGCAGGATCACAACATAGCATGAGTAGGAGAGCCACAGCAGCAGGGTATCAGATCACAAAAGACTCAGTTTGACAGGCTAAGAGACTTACAGTGTATGGGGCAGCCATGGAGTTTAAAGCACCTGAAGAATACCATGACCAGCTTTGCAATTTTGGAAGAGCCAGTGGAGGATGGTTTGAATGAAAGTGAGACTATAGACAGAACCATGCAGTTAAAGAAGGGAACCTCTTTGACCTCTCACTGCCAATATTTTTACTATTGAGTGACTTTATTCAACCCTGATTGGGGTTAAATCACATACCTAATACTGGTGATGACATACTAGGTATTAGGTATGCCAGAAATACTGAGGGAAGCAACACATCATCCATGTCTTAGAGTTGCTGCAGTATTTTAATTTCACTAAACACATACTTCCTTGGATTTTCAGGTTTCAGCTTCCCTTGTTTTGTCTGTCCCAGTGCTTATGTTCAGGGATGTAAAAGTAAGCTGGTTTGTGTTGGCCTTGTCTGTATTCTTCTCAGTTGTACTGCCTTTGTTATAACTCCTTCTCAGCCTTCATCTCTCCACAGTGCAAAGTTATGATCATTTAATAAATTCTTATAGACAATGAATTCATTGCACTACATTCTGTAGTCTTAAATTCTTAGTTTTTCTTCTTGCTTCTCCCAAACCTAAAGTACTGTGTGTTAACCCTCCTAGTCATACATTGAACTCTTTGGGCCCTACTTCCTTCCTTTTGCTAGCTTACAATATCCTCTCTTAATTCTTCTTTTCCTATTTCCCCAAGGATGGATCTGCATCAAGGAATATCAAGGAATAGAAGACTTCTTCACTTTTTCTGTGTAATGCCATTCCTTCATAATATCACAACCCTCAAAGAGGTAACTCTCCTACTCTGGAAAATAAAGAAGTTAAATATTAGGCAATATTTCTGCTTAAACAGAAGACTGAGTTGTATTAGAGGTACCGTTATTATTGCATAATAATTTTGAGTACAATTTATTGAACTATGTATGGTAATCATCTAGCTATGGCATTATATGAAAACTTATTTACTCAGAACAATTCTAAGATACATTAGTCATAATTTTCATCATCAAATCTAGTTTCTTCCAAGTTCCTTGATTTCTCCTAATGATCTTAAAAAGTTATTTTATTTTACTCATTAGAAGATCTACTCTGTTTCTAAGAATGATTTCCCTCCCCAAAGTTTGAGGCAACTCTCATAATTGTATAGGTTTGACTTTGCATATTACTATTATAGTGTTATACTTCATTTAGATTGTATATTCAGAGTTTGGAGACTTACTTTCAGGTGAATTAAATGTGCTTAGGAATATGGTTGCTATGTATTAATGGGCCAATTGTAGATAGAGCTAAATATCATTTAAAAACAAGTGTTTTATGTTGTAATTTCCACACTAAATTAATCTGTCCCAGTGATGAGTTATGATCACCAAGTATATAAGATCCCTATTATCTGCAAATATTACCTCATATAGTGAAAGGGTGTTTGCAGTATTCATT